GAGGGAGCCGTGTTTTTTTTTAGGGGGAAGAGGAGAGTCTGCAATTTTTTCCTGTAATTTTACTAAGTATAATTTATCATGGAAAATATTATGCCTCTTTTCTGTCAACGTGTGTAAGCGAAGCGCATTCTGTGGATGCTATAACCCGTCCTTTCTCTTTCTTTAAATGTGGGGTGGGTAAGATATTCGAGGAGTGCTCAAAATCTTAGTGTTATTTCCTCTAATTTTCTTTTGTACAGAATCCGCGTTTCTTGGCTATTTATGGCAACGATATTTTTGCAATGCAACTACATGTACAATATAATTTTTTTAAAGACATGGATTTAACTTTAGGGCTTACTATTATTTATTCACTTTTGGGGGAAATGAAAGTTAAATGTTTTCTTTAAAAAAATATAGTTCCCCTTTTAAAGCCAACAAAGGCCAGGGAAAGATGGATCGGTGGAGTCTGACGGACCCTTGAGGGGCACGGCACGGCTACCCAAAGAGCAGCCACAACTCCACACCATCTACAATAGAAAACTGCCTCTCTTCTCGACGCTTAAACGGCAACAGAGGAATTTAAAAAAAAAGTAAAAGTAAGATAAGTAGGTACTAATGGTACTTGTCACGTAGAAAAGAAGCAGTAGGAGCAGACCACCCCAAAAGAGTTTGCCACTGACCACCAGAACGGGACAGAAGAACCATAGATGGCATTAGCGTTTTGCAACATTTTTAGGCGCTTGGTTCGCTCAGTTGGAATCCTGCTGGACTACAGAACGAGTGGCCCACAAAGGCGCTCTTGAGCTCGGGTCGTTTTGAGGATCGGAATGTTCATCGCGAGGCTCTCAACAATCCCTTTATTGGCTCAATCCTAACGAGAGACGGAGGTAGAATTTGGATGTCCAGCCTTTCAAGTAACCTAAAAGTGTTGATAGGGGTTTAAAACCCATGCACTTACACCGTCTTTTTTCTTGCAGCTTGCTTCGTTAGTAATATGGCTCATTTTCCCATTCTCCCCATCTCCTCGCTCCATCTACTCCCCCTCCCCAGTATCCCTATCTTCCCCCACCCTATCCTTTCTCCCTTCCCCTAGTATCCCTATCCCCCCTCCCCAGTATCCCTACCTTCCACCACCCTATCCTTTCTCCCTTCCCCTAGTATCCCTATCCTCCCTCGCCAGTATCCCTATACCCACGCCCACCCCCTTCCCCCAGTATCCTTATACCCTATCTCAGTCTCCCCACCCCCAATATCCATGCTCCCCGTCCCTGTATCCTTCCCCCTTCCCCTCACTATCCCTATCCCCCCTCCCTCGTATCCCTATCTCCTATCTCCCCCGTTCCTCCTATCCCCC